CTTATCGTCCTCTTGCCATGAGTACGGAAAACGAATGAGTACTGCTCTTCCAATCATGTCCTTCCCATCGCTTGCAGAGTATGAATTCAAAAAAGTTTTGCTGCTCTTTTCTTCACAACCTCCTAATGGAATTGCGCTTGCAAACCATCTGGAACCCTAAAACAGCCTATGCGTCTTCAATTCATTTCCAACGGTGCGGGGATTGCGCTTAATCGCTATAAGAAGCGAGGATCACCGAAGATGGCAAAGTGCCAGAAGAGCCGCGCGCAACACCCGCCGCGCGGGCGTTAAAGAGACGGAAGCAGCTCGGGACCCAAAGCCTCGTCCACCTACCGTCTCCGTGAGCCTAGCGAGCCTTGTCGAAATCGCTATAACTTCTTTAACGCGCCATATTGAGAGATGAAAGAGGTATCATCTTCATCAAGGCGTAGAGGGTTCCAAAAGGCGCGAAGTCATTTTGAAGACCACTTGATCGCGGGGAGTGTTTTTAACCTGAACTGTTATATAGACGAGTGTTTGATGATGTTTTGTTCTGCATTAGATTACTGAAAGGAGAGTTCAAGTTGTACCCCACTAAGTTTTGAATTTTCAGTCCAAGTAGGGGCCGCAATTCTTCGCTGTCCTTACAATCTCCTAAACAAGCAGGACCCAGCGATCCAAGGTTTTTGATGCACTTTTTTTTCCGTGAAGCAAGATGGCTTCAGTCGCTGCCATCAGAGCTGTAGAAGGCGACAAATACCGTAGTTATCAAGAGGAGACTTAAGAAAGTTGACATACTCTATATGGTGGGCATTCAGGATTTTCAAAAGTTCAGAGTCTGGAGGGTCCCCGGCTTGTGTGTATTTGTGTTGCCAAACTTGTTGTTGTTCGCGTTGGTTTTCCTTTCTATTGCTTTGCTTTGTATCCCATCTGTTAATAGTTTCGCTGATACTGTAGCGCACCCGTCCGTGCATGATAAATCCTTTCATTCTATAAACCAGTAACTTTGTGTGTCGGTTTGTATGTTTGTATGTATGTAGGTTTGTAGGTAGGTTTGTCTGTCCGTCCGCAAAATACTTCACGGGCTCGAGTTCGCTGGAGGCGACAAACGAGCCGTAGGTCAAACCGGTAACCGGACTGGCAGGATGTAGCAGTACAATGTTTGATTGTAAGTGATAACAGCCTCTATATAAGACAACCACTGGTACACTCCGAGCCATTGCACGAGCTGCTGGCGTGGTAGCTGGACGTGTGCTCGTGCGGGTGGGAGGAGTGGGGAACCGGGGTACCTCCCTCTCCCTGCACGGTGCGCACGTGTATGGAGAGAGGCAGAGGGGAGGGTGCGCGGGGAGGGGAGGTAACAGTGAGGGGTGCGTAGCGCGCGTTTCAGTAGAGCGCCACAAGGGGATAAGGAAACAACCGCTAACACAAAACTGCGAAGCCAAATTATGTTCCGAATAACGAACTAAGAAGTTGTTTTGTGATAACACTCTTCCACTACAGAAAAAAAAACCACTACACTCCGAGCCATTGCCACGGGTTGCTCGCGTGGCAGCTGGACGTAAGCGCGTGCAAGGGGCAAGGTGCGGGGGGCGGGGGGTGGAATGGCGAGTACGGAATGGGTGAGGTGAGGAAGGTGGAGTGTATCGAGTGACTCCCTTCTCCCATCCTCACTCCCTTGCGCGTACTCAGTCGGATCTGAGCCCATGCAGGGGAAGGAGGCATATGGATTGAATCGGGCAAACTGGGTACAGTAAGGGGATGCGTAGCGTACGCTTGAATAGGACAGGCGGCAAAGAGAGAAGGAAAGACGCCTTTAGCAAAAACTGCAGCCAATCACTGTTACAGCAAACCAACTAAGAAGTTGTTTGGATTGTGAATCGCTTCCGCTATCTAAGCCAACCACTGTGATATTACTCTGTGCTACTGCCAGGAGCTGCTCGCTTGGGAGCTGGACGTGAGCACGAGCAAGGCGGTGTAAGAACAGTGGCGGCGTAGTGTCCCTATGTTGCATGGCGGCTGCATACCACGTGCCGGGAGTGCGGGTGCCCGTTGTTAAACGGTCAGTGGGATATGATGTGGTGAGGGATACCAGATGACAACGGCGATTTCGCGATTAGGAGCACATAGTCCCTGCGGCGGTAAGGCGTCTACGTTGGCGACTAAGATGGGGAAGAAAATGGATCGACGCAATCGGATCTGAACCCATAATGTTGCATTATCAAATTGTGTAGTTTTTGATAGTCATAACACCCTCCACAACATAACCATAACACCCTCCATAACACAACCATTTAGTGCACTCGGAACCATTGCACGGGCTATTCGCGTAGCAGCGGAGTGTGACCCGTAGGGTGGCTGAGCGGGAAATAGCTGTGGTTAGTTTGGGGATAGGTGAGGTGAAGGGGTACCATATTGGCGCGACCGACGCTCGCCTGAACACGAGCACTCAGCGACTGCGGAGACCGAAGAATCCGTGGCTGTCATAAGATGGGGAGAACAGTAATCGATTATCCATGACCACATTTTGAACTTTTCATTATAAAAGTGCCCTGCGACTATACGGCGCGTTCCTACATTTATTTGATTAGAAGACACCGGTTAGTCACCATGAGAGCATCGTAAATGCCTAAGATAGTAGTATCGCCCTGCTAATGCCTTACTTTGCTCCTTTCTTTCACGAGTTTAGAAATGAGGCTCTAAAGCAGTTGCATGAGCCCGGCGAAGCCGGGCTTCCAAGGAGGCGAGCTCGGCGTTAGCTGGGCGATCCGACTGGTAGATAAATAAATAAATAGTGTTACACTGTTGTGCACGAGCTATGATCTAATGAAGCTCAAAGGGAACTAGTTATGCCGGAATATAACTGTTTGGTGTGGTTGACAACGTCGTGTAGAGACAAATGGATTTCTCGTTATTGTAATGCTGGGGTTCGTCGATGATTATACCTGGTGACTGTTTTCAATGGTGTGATACCAGAATTCCTCACAGTTATACCCATTGTTAAGGTGGAATATCTTGCGAGAAGAATAGACCTCGAAGGTTCTTCGGAAAGCACTTTCGAGTCAAAAAAATTAGAAACAGGATCGTCAGCAAGTTGAAAGGGATCGTGTACGTGTATGATATTTTTCAGCATTTTTGCTTCTACATTTCTCCTTCCTCATCGAATTGTAGTTTGCTCATTTCAGATCAGAAAGAAAGCGGTGCAATCAGAAACCACACAATGTCTTGGGTCTGGAAGCCCACATCAGCAAAACCTCTTCATTCAGTGATTTGCACTTTACACAGTATTCATTCCCTAATGTTCAATTTCACTTAGCGGCCGTGATCAATGCTGAAACTGGTGAGTGGGGCAAATCTCCTTATGGCCAATTTCTAGTGGTATAAATTTTCCTTTTGACAAAAGCCCACACAAAAGACTTTCAGTTATAGAATGATTCTGAAGAGCGACCAAGCGTATATTATTCTCCGTGTCTGTGTGGCTATGAGATTTTCTGTCTAAAATTTTCAGACTGCATGTTGGTTCTGTCTAAGAACGACGAAGGGCTACCACGAAAATCACTCTGTGTGCATTGGCTGAACAACAAAGAACTAGGATTCAGCATGGGGGCCGAAAAATTGCTCGCAGAAGTTGTTCAGTCAGAAGGTTATCCCATCCAAAGTAAGTTTGAACCCTCATAACTTTTCATCTTCGGGAGACCCTATTTGCTCAGAGGTGTCACAAGGCTGTAAGTGGAGCATTCTTTCAATAAAATCATATGTGTTCAAGAGACAGGGAGGATTGGCAAATCATCTCTAGGAACACCTCGTCAATATGAGAGGGGCGCTCTTGCAACAGCTCTTGGAAGGCATATGAAGAGCACAATGGGCTGATTTCGAAATGACTGTAGCATGGCTGTAGCAACTGTGAGCAACTCTAGCAAATGGGGCTTTTCAAATCCAGGACCATCGTGCTGAGGGACTTTCTCTCATGTGACTGCGCGTCCTGTGTTGGAATTTGGCTCTAGTTGTCACGTGTAGACAACTCAGGATTCCTTATTTCCAATGATTAACGCTCTTGTGTGGTACTTTCTCCGCCGGAACCGCTGATGAGTTTGTTTTCAGGGTTCTTCAAAATTCCTAGAGAAATTCTTGAAGTGATTTCGGAACCGCTAGGGTAGACGAGGCGTATGGGGGGGGGGGTAGGCTGTAAGTATAAAACATGCAACAGATTCATACCTCTGAAGACGATGATCCAGTCGGAACGTTAGGCCTAAACAGTAAATGTTCCACTCAGCAACCCCGTAAAGCACAGAAGAAACGAAACATTCACAACTGACATGACTAGGTTGCATGAAGAGAGAGGAGGGGTATTAATGGGCTTATAATATGTGTGCATGATATCCCCACTGTGGTGATGGGTTTTTGTGTTATCTAATCCAATCATATTACTCTGATCCCTCAGCGCTGGTACCTGCTAGCGGTGGCGTGGCAATGGTGAGCGCGAGCACCTTTAGGTGGAGTGGCATACGGTGTGATACTGTAGCCACCACCTAGTCACCTGCCTGCGGCATGACCTCACTTAGGTGCTGCACTGTCTGTTGACCTCTCACTGGCTGCTCAACGAAACGAGACGAATCGAAACGACTTCATCTAGAAGTAGGATTTGATATGTGAAGATCAGTAATTTACTGATTCCATGAATATTGAATGAGGATAAATGTTCGTATCAAAGATAATCCTGTTGAATATTCCAGGAATTCATGTTTTTAGGTGCACCCACCCATCTTGTGACCTTCCGAAGGCAAAGTTATTCTTACAGGAAGGCCTTTCACATTCTTCCTCTTATAGCCTCTCTCTGTTTAACTTGCTGCTGCTGCTGCTCACACCCTCGTGAAGATCATCTGAAAATATATTTATATAGCTTGATGAGAACAACATTAATACACATTTTCAGTGTTTTTCGTTGCACGAGCACGTTTCCACGTTAGTACTACAGCGGATCTTGTCTTCTGATTCTTCCATCCTGTGTGTCGCGACGCTTATCCCTCCTGAGGTCTTCCTTACGGGGAGTGCATGTCATGTTGGGTCTTGGTATCAAGGGGGGGGGGCTCGCCTAAAAACAATCTGCGCCACGCGGCAACGCCTGCGGTCCTCATCCCCTTGATTTTAACGGGTTCCTGCGTTCACATGTCGCGCCCCGAAGGGTGGGTCCCTGCGCTCCTGTCTAATCCTATAGCTGATGCGAACGTACGTTTCCTTTCATATGTGACAACTGCGGACAACCATTCATCCATCCCACCAACACTGGCCCTGACCGGCGGCGCTGACCAACGCTCTGATATTGATTGCTCCACTAGCAAGAGTAATTGCTGACGTTTTTTCCTTCTATTTTGCGCCATAGTCAGCTGCTGTATCCGACTATTAGTATTCAGTGGACTGTTTTTAATTCTGCTTGTCAATTCAATTGGTCTTGCTGAGACATCGGATTCCGATACGGTTTATTGTGGTGGGATTCCTGGTGGCGTGGGGTCGTTATGCGTTATACTGCTGTGAGCCACCATTACAGGTGTATTTTTTGCAAGTTTACCTCGTTTACTACTGTTAGTTCACTGGTTCGATTTGGGAGTCGAGCTGATCTCTAGATCGTTATCGATTGAACTGCTTCGACTTGACATGATCACTCCCGCTCGATCCACTTCTGTTCCAGTGTCCAAAAGAAGACAGGTCGAGTACCTCTCACCAGAAAAAGGAGATAAATTGAAGAAACTAGTGGAGGAGTGAGCGGACCCAGGGATATGTTGGAAAAACTTTTGCCTACTTGGAAGGGAAGGGCGCTTCGTACCTGAAGGAGATGTAATATTTGAGTATGTCCGCTGGCCTGAACCCCCTCAATTACCCGGTTCGGGCGGAGCTCAACAAGGGGAGCTACAGTTGCCAACTATCAACTCTATCGCCGAAGCTAGGTACCGAATCGCTTGCGTGGCAGAATCTCACGGCGATCCCCCAGAAGGCTGTGGCGGAGTATCGTGATAGTACTTGATATGCTCTTCAATATGGTGGTAGAACTGTCCGATCAGAATTTAAGGAAGTGTAACTTATAACGCCTCGAATGTCAAGGAAGAAAACTGACTTCTTTTTGGGTCCCTCCTGTAGTGACTGGGCCAGCGGTAGAGGAGCAGAAACGTGTAGAGATTGGGTGAAGTAGAATTTGTGAGGGGTGATTGCATGAAGGGAGACTGTAAAAGAAATAGAGTGTGACAGGTCGTCTTCTAAGAATTACTTTGCCTTTGGAAGGTCACAAGATGGGTAGATGCACCTAAGAACATAAATTCCTGGAATTTCAACAGGATCGTCTTTGATGCGAACACTTACCCTCATTCAATATTCATGGAATCAGTAAATTACTGATCTTCGCATATCAAATCCTACTTCTAGATGAAGTCCATTCGATTCGTCTCGTTTCATTGAGCAGCCAGTGAGAGGTCAGCAGTCAGTGCACCAATAAAGTGAGGTCGCCGCAGGCAGGCCTCGGGATATGCGCTAGGTGGTGGCTACAGTATCACACCGTATGCCACTCCAACTGAAGTCCGCCACCCCATCCTTGCTTCGCATGAGGTAGCTATGAGATGAAAATTGGAGGGCTAATGCCGTTAGGACTCCAGCAATTTCGTCTTCGAGCTCATTTTAAAAGTGGCAAGATCACCAAATCCGCTAAAAACTTGTATATAGGGGTAATTCAGCATCCTGATCACGAATATGACATCGATTTTTGGCGCTGGCACCAATGGATGAATCTACGATTATCTGCGCTCTGCTAAAGATGAGCCCAGGAGGTAATCGTAGTGTCCTCTCTTGGCGCCAGCGCCAAGAATGAGTGTCATACTCGTAATCAGGATGTTGAATCTATATACAAGTTTTTAGTGGATTTGGTGACTTAGGCAATCTGAAAATGAGCTCGAAGACGAAATTCCTGGAGTCCAAACGGCATTAGCCAAATTCGAGTTTGGGGGAGACAATCCTTGCATTTTGTATGGAATGTCTCTTCTGCATCCGAATACTGAACACAATTCGAAGTGATGCAGGGGGACGGCAAAGAAACCCTTGTCCCCTCGGCTCCCAAGGCGATGTAAATTACACCTTATTAAATTCTGACGCTTGGATATTCCGCCTTTTTCAGGCTCCCAAGCCCTTCGATTCGAAGTAGGCGCGAGCTTTCCCAACACCCTTAGATTCCAGGCACCATCCTGTAGCAGTACGAAGTTTCCAAGATGGCACAGGCGACGATATGTGGAGATGATCTCGAGTTGCTCGATGTAACCGTCAGCGCTCAGTCCGGAGTCCACGAGTTCCGGCATACCAACAACCCGCGCTTTGACAACTGCGGTGAAGGTGATATCCTGGACCGTAGCGACGTTGTCGGAGCTTCTCGATATTGGAGATCATCCAGATCGAGAGTACTGGTCTCCAGGTAGCTATCCACGGGTGACTCCATACAAGAGTCTCGCAGCTGTTTGGAGGTGACATAAATTCCGAAGGTCTTTTTTGGCTCGGCTGCCATTGGAGATAACTTCATGTTTTGGTGTGCATGAAGCTGATGAACGAGAGCCTGCTCCCGCTTATCGAGGAATATCTTAAGTATCTTCCGCCCTGCTACTCGTATCCGAGTCTTCTGTCTGGGCTGCGTAAACTTAACTGAAATGTGATTCGGCCAAGGCATCCCCCCCCGTAGACTAAAGAACGCCAGTCAGTGGCGTTCTCTACGCTGTAATCTATCACGTCTGCGGAAACACCACTGCCCACCGAAGAGAAAGAAACTCAGGTCCGCTTGCGATAAATGCGTGCTGCGCTTCCGTGGACGGGGGGGGGAGGGCAAAAAAGACACTTTTCTTCCGATATGAAACATTCACAACTGACATGCCTAGGTTGCATGAAGAGAGACGCAGGGGTATTTATGGGCTTATTTTATGAGTGTGTTGTTTGTGGCTTGTGGTGATGTGTGTCGTGTGTGGTGTGTGGTGTGTGTTTGACCGCAGAAATAGTCCTGCCCTCATATCATCGCCCGTACTACATCTTGAAACTGCTAGCAGGCATTGGTGCCACCTGAATCGAATGGCGTTGGACGCCTGTAAGAAGAACGAACCATTCCAAGCGTGTCACGCTGAAAACGAAACCCCTCTCTATTACCAAGGTTCAGGCGCCTCTTTCGACGAGGGTGTCTAGCAGTGGCGAGAATCAAGATCTAGCGTGAACTTTTGCACCGATCACAATCGCGTGGCAGAAAATCGTTCGAGCCCTCGAATGCAGGGCTATTGGAGGACGTAACATGATAGCGTACAATGTGTTGTTGAATACATATGTTATAATGTCCGGATCAGGGAACTTGATAAAGACGTAACCTTACATTCCTATTAAATGCGCGTAGTTAAAGGGTTTTCTGGTTGAATGGTTTTGTCCCTCCCCCTGCGACCGCTCAATTGGTTTTCTTTTTTATTTTTTTTTTTTTTTATTTGGGTTCAGTATTCAGACCGGGAACGGAAATCGCCATACAAAATGCAAAGAAATGTCTCCCATTGTTCTCCTGAGTTAGGTAACTGACGATCAAATTTCCACATCATATCCCCTACCTCTCATGCGATGCACAAGAGACTCTTAGCCAAGTGGTGGTAGACTGTAGAATGGAGTGTACATTACTTCTGTAT